AAGGAAGGAAGGAAGGAAGGAAGGAAGGAAGGAAGGAAGGAAGGAAGATAAAGTCAATGGAGGAGAAAGAGTGGAGCTGGGGTAAGGGACTGAGACTGGATGAGAACCCAGTGTTTGCCACATGACTACTCCTGGCCCCTTGTGTCTTTGCAGAACAATGATCAGGTGAGTAGAAGCCAGACCCTTCTCCACTCTTGAGAGCTGAGCTAACACCCACCTTCTAACAGGTGGATGAGGAAGAGTCCTTGCTTCAGCCAGGTATGAAGTTGGCTAGTGAAATAAAGACTCAAACTTGCCCTACTGTTGGAGTCTCAGCAACACTGGCTTCCAATACAATTTAGAGATTAATTAACCAAGGAGCATGCTAGGTAGATCCACTCTTTACCCTGACATCATTCCACAGACACAGGGATACTTAGCTGGATACTGACCCTGTAAAGTGACCTCAAGCCTTGGAATACAGATTATTTTTTTTTTTAATGGCTTTTTGAGACACGGTTCTTCTGTGTAATAATCCTGGCTGTCCTGGAACTTGCTCTGTAGACCAAGCTAGTGTCGAACTGAGAAAGTTCCTGTCACTGCCTCTTGACTTCTGGGAATAAAGGCATGTGCCACCACGGCTGGCAGCAATGTGGATTTTTATAGCAGAAAAAAGCGCGTCCAGAGAAGAATAAGCCACACTAGTTCTAGAACTTCTACAGAATAGCCCTGGGAAGGAGCACGTCTGTGCTGGCCATTTTTTCAAACTAGTTATTTCCTTTTGTTGTTGGTGGTGGTACTTTTAAAGACAAGGTCTTTCTACATAGCCCTGACTGTCCTGGAACTTACTATTGAAGATGAGGCTGGCCTTAAACTCAGAGATCTGCTTGCCTCTGTTTCCCAAGTGCTAGGATTAAAGGTGTACACCACCATGCCTAGCCTGTGCTGGTGATCTTACAAACAGAAGCCTTTTGAGGGGAAGTTTTTTTTTAATTGTTATTATTTTAAATTATATGTATGTATGCAGTCCCATTTGTGGGTTTGTACATGTGAGAGCAGGTGCTTCAAGAGGCTGGTGATGTCAGAGCCTCTGGAGTTACAGATAACTGTGAGCCACCTGACATGGGTGCTGGGAACTGAACTCAGGTCTTCGCAAGAGCACTATGTGCTTTTAACTGCTGAGCCATTTCTCCAGCCCCAGGAGCAGCTCCAAAGCACAAAGAGCAATGTGCACTGACTGGAAGAAAGCATCAGCAGCTGCGTCCTCTGCCAGTGCTTCCCAGGAGCATGCCCAACCCACCAATGTGACTGTCGGCAGCGTGGTAGCACTGCACAGGTCTACAGTACCATGAAGCCTGGGAAGGGGGCAACACTCACTTCTGCAGCACTGCCTGCCACTCGCCAAGCCGGGCACTGATGGGAAAGCCGTGCACAGTGCCCTGGACTTTGGCACGCCACTCCCGCATATAGTCCTCAATGTCGAACAGGAAGGGCTGCTGCCCAAAGTTGGCATCCACAATCTCCCCAGGTGTCTGTAGGCCTACGGTGGGGTAGAGGTTGGCCTGAGGAAAAGAATGAATATCAGTCAGGCCCCTGAGGGCTGCAGGCTTCTCTTCATTTCCATGGCTCTTGCCAGCCGACACTAGGGCTGGAAGAGACTTGCATGGCAGGAGCAGCAGGGACCAGTGACGTCTAGTCTAACTCTCTAGCAGGAACTTATACCCAAAAGTGTGGGGGAGAAGAAAAAGAAAAGCAAGGAGGGCCCCGCATGGAAAGTCTCCTCTGGTCTGCATCAAAGGCCACTGTGTCCTCAAGGCCTGGGAACCCCTTACAAAACTCAGCCAAGGTACACAGTAGCAGACAGGGCTGTACACCCCTACATATATACTAATAAAAATGTGCTATGTGGTGGTTTATGACTTCTGGGAAGAGATGCAGGGCCAAGGATCCCTCAGCTACCAAAAAAGAGGTACATGAGGGAAAGGGATGACACAGGGGATAAGGAACACTGATGAGAACAGGCAAAGATTTGGTGAGTTGCTTCTGGAGTTGGTGGTGAAGGCTGCCCTCTTCCTGTGAGAGGTTTACTCAGCAGTGATTTATGGAACGCACTATTTTACTGTCCATTTCCCACTTTAGTGAGGCCACCCCTCATTCAGTACCTCCTATGCCACCACCCAAAGCTTCGCCCACCTCCTCCCCATGCCACTCAACACATTTTTTCCAGGAACCCCTATCCATTCTCTTTTTTAAAAGGAAAAAAAAAAGGTCTTATGTAGTCATTCTATGCATGTAGTTGAAGGTTACCTTGAACTAACCTTGCTGCCTCCACCTCCCAAGAGCTAGGACTACAGGTGTGCACCCCACCCTTGGCCCCCTTGTACCTCTGTACCGTCCACTCTTCAGGTCACTCATAAGTACCACATATGTTTTGAGCACACGGGTTTCAGCCCACCACAAGGTCAGAACCTACACTCTCTCTGCTTCCTTTCTTTTTCTCCCGTCTTCCACACCACAGGCAAAGCCCAGGGACACGTCCCAGTCTTTCCAGCACTTGACAGCACACTGCCCACACTCACGTCGGTTCACCTCACGTCATGTCTCCATACCTAGACGCTTCCCCAGCCAGAGTCAGAATTCTTCTGAGTCTGCTCCCTTTGCCTAGGACAACAGCCCCTTTCTGGGGCTTCCAGGTATGAAGGAAGGATTCTGATATGTAGACAGGAAGTTCAAACATAACTGTGGGTACTGCAGTTAAAATTCAGAGGCCCCTCAGATCACAAATACACTTCCTGGGGCATAGTGGGATCCTAAAACAGCCACCAAAGTCAGTAAACTTCTTTTTGGAACCAGGGCAAATAGACCCATGCCAGGCCCAGCATTTTGGGTAAAGGTTCTGCATGTGACAATGCCTGTACCACTCAGCTAAGTAATGGGATAGAGAGAGTGAGGATGGATCCCAGACTAAGCTGACAGGAAACTCCATCCTTTTCTAAGAAGAGAAAAGCCTACAAAACTCATACCCCAGGAATCAGGGAACCCTGAATGGTAGCATTCTAGGTTTCTAGAGGTGATGACTTTCCTCAGAAACCTCTGATGGGCATGTATAATGACCAGATTCCTACGAGTTCAGGAGTAATCCCTATATGCCACACCCAGTCCACTGGCTGGAGTCACAGACATTTCATTCAGATCAGCCTGTCCCATGGAGCTACCCTCTTTCACCACCACCCCCTTACCCCCACCCACAACTGCCTTAGAAAATGCCACAAATTTCTGTCACCTGCTAAGAGACGTGGAGGAAGACCAGGCCTTGCTGCTGAAGAGAGAGGACGGCCAGCAGGTAACCCTTACTGGCACCCTCAAGCTGGCAGCACATCACACATCCCTGCTTGGGGAAAGGGCCAGACTCCACACCCTGCACTTGCAGGTACCACCACCCACCCCAGCAGCCCTCAACAGCCCAGGAGGAGGAGGACCCATTGCTTGTAGTACTCACCGGGAGATCTGTGAAGGCGATACCTGTGGGAAGGAAAGGACAGTCATCAGTGATTAATTAGATAGGGATAGCCCCTTGGTCCCCAGTGATCTGTAAACTCTAGGTGCAGATGGTAGTCAAGCGTGTACAAGGGGTACTAGGGACTGGGACTGGCAGTTTTAGGCCTGGGCCTTCTTCTTGCTGGATAATCTAAGCAGAAGAAAATCCAGGACCTTAATTGCCTATAGTTTTTCTACCTTTTCAAAGAATATCTACTAAAAAGAACTAAACCAAGTGATTTATCTCTTAGGCTGGCTATTCAAGCCTCTTGATATCTAACATGTCTGTGAAGAGCTTACTATGTGCTCTAACCCTTCTCTATTACCTGATGCCCTCCTCATGTCAATTCCTTACAGCAGGCACTGTGCTCATTCTCCCAGTTTACGGACAAACAGAAGCCCCTCAGAGGTTAACCCCTCAGAGTGCCTTTGGTCACTGAGATGTTGGCAGTGGTAGCTCTGCATAGACCTAGTCTGAGTCCAACACTCCAAGCTGACAGATTAATGCTGCCCATCCTCAGACTCCAAGAGTTCCAAGTTCTCAGAAGTTCTTTTTTGTTTGTTTGTTTTTTTGGTTTTTTGTTTTTTGTTTTTCTAGACAGGGTTTCTCTTTATAGCCCGGGGTGTCCTGGAACTCACTCTGTAGACCAGGCTGGCCTTGAACTCAGAAATCCGCCTGCCTCTGCCTCTCAAGTGCTGGGATTAAAGGCGTGCGCCACCACTGCCCAGCCTCAGAAGTTCTTATTATCCAAGATCTGGCTGACAGTGGCCTGTGCATCCCCCAAACACTCCTGTTTGGAGTGAGGAATGCATCTCGAGACTTCAGATTTGAGCTGCAGTAGGGGTCGTGCAACCCCAAACATACAAGCATACCTGAGCCATACTCACAGGAGTGGGGCATCGGGATGTATGGAGCTAAGGGAGCCTCTAAGGCCTCACATCCCTCTTTTTTTTTTTTTTTTTTTTTAAGATTAAAGTCCTTTATCATGTGGGAACCCCTTGGCTTCTGGCATTAGGGGTATACAAAGTACTAACTCCCTGAAGCTCCCAAAGGACTTCCTGAAGCCTCATCTGGAAGGAAGCAGAACTTGGCGATCCAGCACAGGTGAAGTATATGCTATTCCTCACACTGGCTCACAGACTAAAACCCAAGGTGAAGACAGATGACACATTCTTTGCTAGGTAAGGTACAAGTTGGCTACTTTACTCTTCAAGGAGTGAAAGTCAAAAACCTTATGCTCCAATGGCCTGAGGCCACTTGTGAGCCTCACCAATAGAGTCAGAGTCACAGCGTCAGAAGCTCCTAATTACAGTGTAGTCTGCTGGAGAGCTACCCTTGTAGACCTCGGAGGATCCAAGGTGCTACTCTCTCCCGGGCTTAAGGAGAAGCTCAAAGGACCTTAAAAGAAGGGGACTCCGGCTCCATCAGTTACTGCCAAGTGACCTTTGCATATACTTTGTAAGGCTAGGCTCAGACTTCACCTGTGCTGGATCGCCAAGTTCTGCTTCCTTCCAGATGAGGCTTCAGGAAGTCCTTTGGGAGCTTCAGGGAGTTAGTACTTTGTATACCCCTAATGCCCAAATTACCCAAAGTGATCTAGCCCACCAGAAGAACCCTTTACCTCATGAGGGGGATGGGGAAGAGGAAGGAAGGAAGAAAAATAAGATAGTCTATGAAAGCTGCTTCATACATCATGTAGTCTAGGTACAAGCTGACTGATGGTGGGCTACAGAGTGGAAAACTGCCACACTCTGGGAGAGGTTGACCCACTCAGACCTGCCCAACTCTGCTTTACAATGGCACCAGGAATGACAAGTCCTTGAAGGGCTTCCAAGATGAGGAAAGAAACCACTCTCATCTATATTACACTGTAGAAGGCAACACTGCTCCACAAGAAGGTTCTGTGAGCCTCCACAAGGCTACTGTGGTAAGATTTGGGTAGACACACAGTTTAAAAGGCCAGGCAAACAGGATAGCCAGGCTTGCTGATGAGAAGAATCCTGTCCCAAACAGGGTCTGGGGCCCTGAAGCTGAGAACAGAAGACCATGTGAGTCAGTACGGACCACATGAAGAAGAATCTACAGGCACACAGAACACTTGCGGACCAGACAGCAGTCCTTCACCTCCATTTACTCATTATTGATCGAGTGTCTGCTGAGGCCTGGCAGGAGCTGGGTCAGATAACAGGACTAGGCAAACAGCTGAAGCCAGCTGATCCTCAAAGTGTCCCTGATTCACCAAGAGAGAGGGTATATGATGAATAATTAGAAATACAGAATGAAGGAACATAAGGCTTGAGTGTTGACAAAGTAAATGACCAGGGCAGCCAGAGACAGGAGATGTCATTCTACTTCCCTAAAGTGGACAGGACAAGAGTCTGAAGCATACTAGCAGTGATAGGTTGGCACATGACATGGGAAGATTCACCTGGCATCTATCAATCTAACATCATGAAATGTCATGATCTAGAACACACAAAGGGCAGGACCTATTTATCTTTCAGTAAGGTTTCAACAATACTTTTATGAACAAGATGGTAAAACATGGGCCTCAAACTAATATACTTGATTCACCCACCCTCGTCTACCTCCCCGTCCCCCAGGATTAGTGCTCTACCAATGGCCCCTATCTCCGCCCTCTTTTCATTTCTTCTTATTATTCATTTTTCTTAAGATGTCCTAGCTGGCCCTGAGTTCTTAAAGCCCCTGCCTCAAGAAATTGGGATTATGGCCTGTGCTACCAGATAGAGCTTGGGGGTGGGGGTGATATAGAGTAAACTGATTCTTTGGCCTTTTTTGTGCTTATTTTGCCTTGTTTTATAGTACTAAGGATTGAACTTAGGATCCTGAAGAAGCTAGGCAAGTGCTCTAATAGCGGACTCCATCTCCAGAGTCACACAACTGGTTGGTGTCTAGCTGAGCAAACTCAACTACACATGGAGCTCAAATCTTAACCTTCTCCTCTTTTAATATGTTGAATATTAATCAACTTGTTTCTCATACTTTGGGTTAACCGAACTTAGAAATAAACATCAAATATCAAGAAATAAACAAGACTGTAGAAAATTTTTTAAAAGAGTAGAAAAAAAATTAGGCAATGTACTACTACATGAAGTTTAAACACGTGTAGGTCTTTGTACAGGGTCCATAAAAAGCATTCACTAGGCAGATGAATACAAAAATGCCTAGGGGACCCAGCTAGCAAAGAATTTGTGACCCTTTGGTGGTCCTAGCACACATCTATATGGCCCAAAGGAGCCATTAAATATACAGCTACAATAGGTACAGCACAGTATTTTCCAAATCTTATATTCCATGTGGACAAGCTAGAGGGATGTGAGCCTGGCTGTGTGGGCAGGTAAAAGGATGCACGCTGAGAGAAAACAACAGCCCTGGGGATCCTGGCAGCAGGGACAGCAAAGTGAGGAAACAGTCAGAGTCAGGAGACAGAATGAGGAGCGAAGAACTTTCTTGAAATCTTACTGCAACTGCAACTAGTGACGGTCAGTCTCGGGAGCTTCTCTAGATGTGCACCAGGGGAAACTCTGCCTGTGATGTGTTCTCAATCCCCCATTTTTCTGTACTTCTCTGCTTGCTCTGGGCTGCAGTGTACAAACTACCCTACTGATACACTGGCTCTTAGTTGCTCACTCCCAGTCAATAGCAAACCTGATTCCCTTCGGCCTCTTGATTCTGAGCCGGTTCGCCTCCTAGAAAAGCCACACAAATCGTGGGAACAGTAGCCAGAGATCTACTGGCCACAAAGCCAGCTGGAAGCAGGGTGCCTGGTTTCTATTCCTGCAAAGCGTGGTGGTCTGCTTAGTAAGGTACTGCTGGTCCTCTCCTTGGAAGAGGCAGGTTGTGGCTAGAGTAGACACCCTTGCATGGCAGTCAAGCGCAGCAGCTAAGGACCAAATTGGGACAGTTTGGCCATATACCAGCCAGTACCGGGTAGGACAAGGCACCAGAATAGTCAAAGTCCCTTTCTCTGAAGTTTATCATATGTTTTAAATTTCAATTAATTGATTTATCTTGTATATTATGTACTTATGTGAACAGGGACACACATATACCACAGCACATGAGTGGGAGTCATAGGACAATACTGGGGTAGTTGCACAGGCCAGTTGCTGGCTTTAGCTCACACAAACCATCTTGCCCTGGCTCCTGAATGATGGGATTGCAGGCATACACCAAATCTGGCATACTCTCTCTCTTCCTCTGACCCTTTTTTTATAGCGCTCTGAGTCTAGAATGGCCTCAGACTCATATAGCTAAGGATGGCCTTCAACTTCTGCTCTACCCGCCCCCCACTTCAGTAGTGCTGGGATTCCAGGCATTCACCGCCACATTCAGCTCAAGTTCTAACGCTAGGTTTATGTAGAGAACAGGTCCACTCAAGGAGCCATCGCACCCCAACTTTCCCATAGCTATACCCCTTCACACTGTTTAACACTGCACCAGTCCAGCTTCTCTTCTTACAAGTGTGTCCATCCCTCTAGCCTGCTGGACCTCTGTTGCCATTCCTCATACCCATCACTACAGAGTTAACCTCAGGATACTCGCCTTTTCTCCTGGTCCTTTCTCCACTGCATCCTTCCATTTCTCTCTGGAGTTTTATGTTGTAACTCTGTCAACATATGCTGCATGTTAACCATGAACAGGGCAGAGATCTGTCCCTATCTGACTCCGTCCTGTTTACTTTCTGTCTGACAGCCCTCACTGTTACCTTCAGTATCCCAACTATCAGAAGAACTGACCAAAGGCTGGGCCCAGTTATAGGCATTTAAACCCTAATCACTGATTACTACAGTCAGGGCCCTCAAACTTCTCCATCAAGTACAACAGACAAGACAAGCCAGGATCATGACCAGAATATTCCTGCACCCTCAGGAACCACCCTGGACTTATACCACAAATGCTGCTGGAGGGACAGGTTAATAACAGGCATTCCCTGTCGCCCTTCATTCACCTGAGAGGGTCCCAGTGCTAGAAATGCCTGCAGTTCCTCAGAGAGCTGTGCAGAGGCTCCTTGATACTATCTGACTTCAAGGCCTGTCCTTGAGCTTCTCGGCAACCAAAGTGGCTCCAAGGGCCAGACCCTTCACGGTCTCCTATGCACCTACCAAGGCTGTGGCCATTCTTGGTGTAGAAGCAGGTGCCATTGATGAGGTTGACACAACAGCCGATCACATCCCCTGTGGTGAATGTGGGACCATAAGGCTGGCCTGTCCCCGAGGAGCAGAAGGAATGCCCATCATCGCCATGGTAACCATAGGAATGTTTGTCCCAACCTGTGGGGAAGAGAGCGGCAATAGCTGAAAGTAAGTACTTGATAGAAGTCTCTGAAGGTCTCAGTTATACTTCCCAGACTCTGCCCACCTTAGCCAGCACTTAGGAGTGTGACCTTTCACAGAACTGCCTACAGACATGGTCTTGTTGAGTTACACAAATATTCTGATAGTGAGGCCACCAAATCATCACCTCTGAGGAGCTCAGGCAGGCCTGAAAGGGACTCACTAGAAGACATGCAAAAGGAGAAGCCTCAGGAAGAAGCAGGCTAGAACTGAGGAGATCAATACCGGTGGGTTGTTACAATGTTTTTGTTTTTCAGACAGGATCTCTAGAAGTCCACAACAGCCTCAAACTCACTAGTACTGAGGCTGGTCATGAACTTCTGATCTTCCTGCCTGTTCTCCCAAGTGCTAGGAGTCCAGCTTGACCAGTGGTTAAAAATACGGTATGTGTTTTAAATGGGGAATACTGTATTCTTTTCTTTTTGATGGTACTAGAAAGCAAACCAAGGGTCTTGGGAATGCTAGGCAGGCACTCCACCACTCAGCTGTACTAATTCTTTTTTTACATTTTATTTTAAGATAAAGCCTAAACTGCCTAGGCTGGCTTCAGTAAGAGATTTATAGGTGTATTCTACCACACCTGAAAAAAAAAATCCTCCCTTTGTACTTTCTCCTTCTTGTGTGATGGAGAGTCAATGTAGTGTCACTTGTACTAAGCATACTATACTACTGACTATATTCCCAGTTCCTCTTCCATTTTAGTATGTGTACACACACACACACACACACACACACACACACACACACACGGGTGGGGTTGGGGGGGCAGGGAGGGAGGATTGTGTTATTACCAAGACAACAGAATGTTGCCAAGTGTGGTGGTGCATGCCTTTAATCCCAGCAGACAGGTAGGTAGAGCCAGGGCTGGCTTCACAGTGAAACACTGTCTCAAACAACAACAAAATCAGGAAGCTGAAGAGATGACTCAGTGGTTGAGAGCACTTACTGCTCTTTGCAGAGGACCCAGGTTTGGTTCCCAGCACCCACAAAGCAGCTCACAATTGCTGTAATTCAAGTTCCAGCACCCTGATTTCCTCTTCAGGCCTATTTGGGCACTGAATACATATGATATACATAAACATGCAGGCAAACACTCATATACATAAAATAAAAATAAATAAAATATTTTAAAAACCCAGAATGCGTTTTTCCTTAGGAATAGCAGCTATAACATGATGGTTCTTAGCTAGCATGAGACCTACCTTTCTGGAAAGGACAAGATGCTGTCCCCTTTGCCACTGAATAACTAACTAATAAAAGCCTACTCCAAGGAGTTTGCAAAGGATGATATAGAATAGAGAAGATATAACATGTAAGTAAACAAGTAAGCAAGATGTACCTGGGAGAGACTAGACACATAGCTCAGCAGTTAAGAGCATTGGCTGCTCTTCCAGAGGGCCTGGGTTCAATTTCCAGTACCCACATGGCAGTTCCAGGAGCTTCAATGCCCTCTTCTGGCCTCCATGGGTACTGCATGCATGCGGTGCACAGGCACCATCTACCCAGGCAAACACAAATACACTTTTGAGCAGAGTTCTACTTGCCAAGAGGATCAGAGGGACAGATATTTAGGTGAAGGGAATACAATCAGCCTATGAGAAACAACTTTCCACGGGTAGCAGCTTCCATAAGGATAGCAGCTCTCAAAGTTCTTTTCAGCCTTTCCTGTTCTAGCCTCTTAGAGAAAGTCAGTTGAGGAGCCTAAAGCTAATAAGCAGAGAGAGGCAAGAGATACCAAGAGCCCTGAGGAACATGATGGGGACTTGAGACCTGGCACCTGTTTGCCCTTCCAGGAGTCAGTAGACCAAGCTGGTTAGAGCTAGTTCTCTTCCTTAATGCAATCAAAGTTTTCTGACTAAAGGAATCATATTTAAGCATCCTTCTATCCATACTACTGAACCTGTGGCTCATGTAGGTACTCAAGGAATGCCTACTGGGACTGAAGATATAGCTCAGTGATAGAGTGCCTGTCTCGTACACACGAGGCTCCATCCATACAGACTGACAATGAAGTTACTTTTGCACTCTGAAAAGAGACCTTCAGCCAGGTGGTAGATAGGCCTCTGCTCTAACCAACAGCTTCATGCCTGTGCTTCTCTATTCCTCACCAATAAACAAGGCAGAGGATGTAATATCCCTATAAGCTTGAGAGTCATCTATGGTGCTAAGTTCCCCCCCCCCTTCCTATTTAGGGGACGAATACCCATGCCTGAGTAAGCCCCTCCTACCCAGCACCCTCTCCTTAAGAATGGTGCACTCTTCCCCACTTGTGCCCTAATGCTAACAGCAGGCACACTCCTCTTTCTCTGGATGAGCATGGTATAAAGTTCGTATGTGTCTGCTAATGAGATTTGCCGTTCCCACTACAAGCCCACAGATATGAAGGTCAGTTGCTTGAAACCCTTCTGAATTTGATGCCCAGCCCTGCAAAACAAAACAAAAGCAGGACTAGAGCCAGCTGCTTCAAAGGACAGCAGGATACAAGGGTCATAAAAGGACAGGTGGGCACTAGTGTCTGGGTCGGGCTCTGCAGGGAATCACATCCAGGTAGCTCTAATCAGAAAGAAGGCTGGGCTGTATAAATGGGGACAACACTCTGACAGGATGTTGTCACCATTCCCCCTTCTCCAAAAAAATTCGACATTGCTACTCTTAAAGAGAACTGATCACACTGGCACCCTATCAGAAAAGCCAAATGGCAAGGTGTCCTGCCACAATAAAGTACCTACCAGATGCCAGTGACACAAAGGAAAGGCAAGCTACACTCAGCCCAGGAGGCTCCATGTGTCCAGTTTAGGAACCCCAGTACCACCCACTTCCCCTGACTCATCAGTAAAATAGGAAGACCCAACACATAAGTATAGGGTGGGCTGAGGAAATGGTTCATTGTCCATTGTCCTGGCATCTCCATATACCAAGCAGAGTGAGAGACTCTATGGGGAGTGCCAGGACTCCAGCATGTGGTGCTGGGAGCTCACTCATGTCACACCCATCCACCAGGACACATCAGGAGCTTCAGTCTCAAAGTAACAAGGAGTGGAAAGGACTACCACCAAAGCACATCATCAGTATACTAGGTCAAAATCCTGGACTGGGGCCTAGGTTGTGGCTGCCCACTAGGTTCTGGCACAACGTTGCACATACAAAGGGGCCAGCCCATGACTTACTCACAAAGCTAGGCTGAGCCTGAGCCTTCAAACCAGTATTTTCCCACATTCCACTCAACAGTGGACTTTGAGTCAGAGGACTTGATTTTGTTTTATTTCAGTTTAGGGGTCACTATACTGCACTGGCTGACCTCAGACGCACAGGTTGGAATGATATACTGACTCAGCGTTTGAGTCCGAATCCCCATTCTTGATTCAGTTCTTCCTCTCAGCTGACTTTCTTTCAGGGATAGCATGATTCGATGAGACTATGCATGACAAGCCAAAGGAAGTATTTCTAGTAAGGTTCTTTTCTCTCACAACCTTAGACAATCACACTTAGTAGTCACACTTGGGTGCTCTGTACATCGCGCCCCCTTTTGCCCTGCAGTGGCAAGCAGGATTACCACCCACCTCTCTCAACAAACAGCTTCAAGGGTCCAGGCCCACTCTGTTTTCCATTGTACACAGCACTTAGAGCACACACAGCACTCAAGGACCATGCCCAGTGGCTCAGGGCCTGCTGCGGAGAGGAAATGTGTTGGGTTAGGGGTTTCCTAAGCCTCTGAGGTCCTGGAGCTACTGTGAAGGAAGCCAAGCACTATGTGGGGTGTCAATAGTAGGGCTAGCCCACAAGGGGAATTGCCAGTTCAAGGAATTTCATTCAAAAATCTGGCAAACAAGCTTCCCCTGTAACCCCAACTATCTTTAAAGGGTTGACAGGACCACAGTGTGCAACAGATCAACAATGGATAACAGGGAAGCAGAAGAGGGTTTGTGTGTGTTTCCATGGAGGAGATACTATGAGGTAACAGAGCACACTCCTATCACAGACCTGTGCAGCCACACCACCCGCATGGCCATTAACCTGAGTTTTGGGAATCTTGGGCCATGGCGATACTAAAACCTCTGGCAGCTGCAGACAGAAAAGGAACAGTGACCCAGGAGCAGAGTCCTCCTGGTAACTTTGCATGGAAACTGTGTGATAGAAGGAAAAAAACAAACAAACAAGCAACTCTATAAGAAGCTAATGACACTGGGTAAGGTGTGCCTTCCCACAGGCTCCTGATCTTCCACTGATACAGGACCTAGGGGTCAATCTGAAGCCATGAGTGGGGCAACGGAGGGTATAGGCAGCACCTGCAGAGTGAAGGCTGGAGAGAGCTCAGCAGACAAGAGGACTGGCTGCTCTTAAAGAGGACCAGTTCAATTCTCAGTACCCACATGTGGCTCACAGCCATCTTTAACTCCAGTTCTGATACATTCTTCTGACCTCCTTAGATACTGTATGTGCATAACACACAGACATTCATGCAGACAAAACACCTATCCACATATAAATAAATATAAGAAAAACAGAAAGAGACAGAGGGATAGACAATCTTGTGCAATCATCTCTGGTGGCCAGGAGAGACCTAGGAATGACCAGGAGGGTCTAACTGGGTCTAGCTAGGTCTAGGCTCAAATGGCCTCTGTCTCATTTGGCCGAGTTATTTTCCTACACCCCAGATCCCCTAGGAAAAGCGGGGTTTGTCAGACACTGAGTCATGTTAAGGAGAGGGATGGCACTGTTCTGCACAATGGGGATGTACAGCCTCCACTCCCAGGATGACTGTCTCTCTAGGGCAGAGTCTTGCTTCTGCTTATTTCCCATAGGACTCCTTTCAAATCTCTAGGGAGGGCTAAATGGATTGGTAATGTGTGGGTAAAACAGAGATGCGCCTGACCTTGCATGCGTCACTGAATCCTAAGCTATCTAAGCTATAGGTATATATAAAGAAAATGCCTCCC